CGGCAGTACCACCTCGGGTTGTACTGTAAGTGCGTCCCGGTTGAGTAGTTGTGCCATAGCTGCTGCGAGCAGTAGAAGACGGATTACGATAGGCTCCAGCGCGCTCGTTGAGAACGTCGCACATAAACTGAACCATGGAGATTTTTGCTTTGTAGAAAGCGGTGTGGGCAACTGAAAGCAGTGAATTGTAGTAGTTTTCAAGCATGAGCGAGGCCGATGCCATGTATTTGAATCAAAATGTAAGCATGTACCGTCGATGTTAAGGAGTGGCTTCCATCCACTTGCCACATGGGCTGATGAGAAGAAGCCAGTCCACATCTCTTTTCCGCCTTCCAGATCGAGCGCCAGCGCACCGTTGATGGGGATTCGATAACAGGACGACTTCCATGAGTAGAAGTTTGCAGCGTTGCTTAAAAGGACAACTACCAGTATTCTTAAATATATACTGCGATGCAGGGGCATTGAATGAACTTGACAATAAAACAAACTAATAAAGGAGTATGGGCTATGGTTTGTGCTGGGAATTTCTGGAAGTTGAACTGGAAGCGCTGGCCCTCAGTGATCCCTCAACTGACGGATGCGGAGAGAAACGAAGTTCTACGGACCGGATCCCTTTGACTAACCATACTTTTTCGGGATAATATAGGACAGAAGCCGTGAACAAGAACTGTCTGAGACGTACTCGATAAACGGGCACGTGAGACTCTGACGACAGACGATATCCAGAATCTGGATCGGAGTCAGAACACGCTCATCAAGGTTGTTCGTACGGGTACGCCGCATTTCGATAAGCACTGGACCGACGCACTGAAATCAATTTCGGCAAGTGTTTTGGGATGAAATACTTTTATTTCGAGTGAACCTTTCCGCTCAATCAATTCAGAAGGTGCTATGCTGTAAGAGCCTTTTTGCGCCATGGTGAAAAAGTGTTTACCTGAAAAGAGACTGCACAAGGAGTCCGCTCGCGAGAGTCCTTGGCAAGTGGCACATCTGCCTCGAGCCGCATCTGAAACGATGTAGTGTTGTGTTAAAGAACAAATCCTATGGTGTTGCGAAAGCTAATAAATGGTAGCCTGCAGTATTACAGGGATTTGGTTTTTCCGAAAACGCTGAGAGTAGCCTAAGCTATGACGGAGAGCCGGCTGTAAATGGCAAGGCGAGCAGTGCTCGGCCTGAAGAGCTCGAATGACCAGTAATTTCGTAACGAAAGTTGCCGCACAGTTCGGCCGGGCAGCAGCCAGGCGAACATAACTCCACTCCAAACAATCTCTATCATGTGCGCTTAGTTTCATGAGATGTGCATGACAGCTCCATAAAGATGGTACGAGAACAGGCCGTGATCATCTCCTGCTCCGCGTTGGCTTTATATAGGTAGTTCTTGAGTTGAGCAACTTACGGAGTTCCGCTTATCAGGAAATTCCAAACGATAAGGTGTATAGAGTTGATGAGCACCGTCGAACGCGACGGCGAATTTGTTCGCAAAAATTGATGGGTGATCAGCAACAACTTTCCAAAAAATTGCACG